CTCTATTAAATTTCCGTTTCTTTCTTAGTATTGTACTTATCTTTTGATCTTCTTTTAGTTTACCATCTCTTTCTTCATGACCTTATTTCTATTGTTTCATCATTTACAATAACATTTTAATCTCCCTTCAAGCACGTGCCGTCATCTTAAAGGTGACGGAAGTTATGTTTTCACCCCTATATGTGTGTTTGTCAGCAAGATTTATCAAAAACGGCTGAATGGATTTGGACGAAAGTTAGTATAAGTTTGGACTATAACCCAACTTAGAATTTATTAGTTTTTGGAAGATCAATGACAAAGGTCAAGGTCACAGCCAGGCCACAAAAATAAACAAAATCCCTATCTATTAACATCGATTTTCACACTATTTTTGTTCTGTAACTCAATCAAAAATGATCTGATTTTGTTGAAACATGGTGGACATATGTAGAATATTATTTCTCATTGTCCTGCCAAAAATGAGCCGTGTCCGTTGATAACGATGGACATACAGGCATATTTTCGTTTCTTTTTTTAGGTTGGAATATGATCAACGCTGCGTGGCGGACGTATGCGCTCTACTGAGTGTCCCTCTAGCTTTATTCTAATTTTACCAAAATAATCTTTCTTCTGACATAAATTTTGTAACGGCTCCTATTTTTGGGCGGGTTATTTTGGATTATTCGTTAGAAAGGATATAATGTAAAGTCCAGTCCACTTAATAATAACGAAAACGTTTATTTCTTATTTATTAACTTTAATAATATTAAAGCTTTGCGCGAAATTAAAAAAAAACAAAACAAAACAAACAGTACAGAAGAAGAGCATACTTTCCTCATGCAGCTGTAAAGATAAGAACAAGACAAACCAATACATAAAGTATATACATATATAGTTTTAGCTTAATCGGTTTAATACCGATCTACCGCCACGGCAAGTCGGGTTTCATTCCTCGTGAACCTATCTTATAGCTCAAAATTCCTTAAAATTAAAATGTATTAAATATGTTTAATTTAGTTTTGATTCTGACTGTTGTTATTTATGTCCGAATTATCTAATTCTTCTAAAATAGGAAAGGTATTACAGGATTGTATTTTCAGTAGAATTATTTATGATCTTCAACTCCCCCCCCATCTTACACACACACACACACTGATATATATATATATATATATTACTCGTGTTGCTAGTTTCCTGTAATATTGGTTGTATGCTACAAAACATTCAGAACTGAATATTGCAGTACATGGAAACGTTAAAATCGTAGTATAAGAAGCTCTGTATGTGTTGTTGACTGGTCGTAAATATGTGAAATGTATAAAACATTAATATTGACATCAGCTTCATAAAAATGTACTATATTGTTGTTTTCAGGTCAAAGCCACACAGGGGACTATTTGCGCTTTGTCCTCCACGGGGAATCGAACCCCGGATTTTAGTATTGTAAGTTTATAAACTTATAAACAGCCCCCCCCTCCCCCGGAGAACATTTATGTCTAACATATTTCGCTGTCTTTATTTAAGTTTACTGCCTAAATAAAAGGAAAATAACGACCGGTAACCAAAGGAGGAAATACAAATACAAAATTAACCTCCATTGGCTAACCTAAAACTAGGGGGGGGGGCATTCTCATGCAATTAGCAAAGTGTATGTATAGGGTATTTAAAACGGGGCGAGAAATATTTGCTTCACGTGTAGCACGTCTAAGCTTGGAGATATCTATATATATCTATAATATAATATACATATAATATATATAAACGTTTATTTGTTGGTTTGAAGTTAAGCACAAGCAACACAATGGACTATCTGTGTTCTCCCCACCACGGGTATCGAAACTCTGTTTCTAGCGTTGTAAATCCGCAGACATACCGCTGTGCCACTGGGGGGCAAACGTTTATATACTTGTGCACGATCAATTACGAAAGCATTTATATATATATATATATATTGGATGACAAATGTAATATACAAAAACGTAAAACAATATCAAATTATATGTATTTCACTCTAATTCAGTGATATTTAGTTTGATTCGTCTGTATAAAGTTTGTATAAAAATAAACTTGATATTGTGATACTTTAACATGTGTCCATAACATTAATACATTACTAAGCTGTTGTCATGACGATGAGCTGTGTTATGAAAATATTAACACGTGCAGTGCTAAAGTGCTTTCATTCCGATTTGTTTTTCATAATGTATACGTCACTGATTCTAAGACATTTCTCAGCATTTTTATTAATAGTTTCTATCACTGAGGGTAAAATAAATGTTATAACTATATATTTTAGACAATTCATTTCAATATGACAATAAATAACTGAATGACCTAAAGTGATTTATAAATCGTTAATTTTTAAAACAATTTTTCTACAACACCGTTGAAATTTTTATTTACGCTTCGAAACAACAATCATTATTTGTTGTGCTTCAAAGGACTTGAAACATTTCTGCTTGAAAACGGCCGCAAACATTTTATTAACAGGAATGTTATCAATTTGGATGACTCTGAAACAAACTATGAGCTGATCATGGAGAACCTTAAAAAATTAGTCTTAAACGATTCAAAGATAAAGAAAAAACTGTGAGACAAATAAAATAGAATTGCAAAAACATTTAGTCTATGGTTGAGTTACATCCATATAAACGCTTCCCGATTCCTGGGAAGAGTTTCTGAAAAAACTTCCTTGGCTTCAGGTAGCACATAGATTACCTTAAGCTGTTTTCGTTTTTACTAATGCACTTACATAAGCTCATGTTAATTCTGTAGATAAAAATCATTAAGCTTTTTATGTTGTAATTAGACCCTGAAAAGGTTCCGCAGGCGTAATGAGAAATGTGAAACACGTGTGTCCTATTGAAATGTTCACTTTCAATGTCAATTACTAAAGAAAAATAGTTAAAAATAATCTACCTTATTTAATTAAATATTATATTCAGCAAAAGCCCTGCATATCGAAACGTCTAACATACAGATTAAAAGTTAACGTTTTAGTACACTAATCGATTAAAACAACTTTGAAGATTTTAATTGTCGATTGAATTTGTTTTTTAAAAAGAGACAGAACACTTGATTCGATAATATGGATTTAAGGGCTGGCGGTATGACTTGGCGAACTTCCATATCTCATTTAACAGTATTGAACTGTCTCGTTTGAAAATCATTGCAACTTAGTATGTGATCTTGTGTACTAACTTCTTAATTATAATTCATTTAATTTTAGATCGGGCTGAAGATGTTGCGAATCTTCCCGAACTTGTTTTTCATTAATGATCTAACTGGTTGGAGCTATGCACTCTTATTAATGATCTAACCGGTTGGAGCTATGTACTCTTATTTCTGCGGAAATTAGCATTGTTGCTAATGGCTTACGGCTGATGAACCACCGCCTGAGGCAGTTGTTAGGTTAATTGAGAGTTTACTTTTATATGTGTTCCTCGATTTTTTCGTAAAGTCAATTTGCCAAAACAGATAGCCCATTGTAAAGCTTTGTGTTTATCTAAAGACAAACAAGACTTATCCATCTTTCTAGGACGTAGCATTATTTATAATTTCAATGGAATGATTACTAAGTACTTTAAAAAAATTGATACTTTACTTCACTTGTCAACTACCTATCTACGTTGATTGGGAGTAGCTTATAATGTTCGAAGTGTGGATCCGAAGGTCCATGGTTCTCATCCTGTTGCCACAATATCGCGCTTCACACAATAACGCTGGTATTGTCAACCCGGATGTGAGATAACTCAAGATCTATATAACGGGTTTGAACTGTCTATCGGTTTTTAAGTGATTGTCGAGAATTTTCTATCAGATGACACTGTTAAATCAGATCTATAATTTTATAGAAAAAACAACAACTGGCAAATGAGGTTCCAGTAACTATCACAATGTAAACTTACAGTGGATTGTATAATGTCATATTACTGTAAAAATACAATTAACTTATGTTTCTGCAGCTTATTCTAAAGTAATGTACCACTATAAACATACAATGAAGCAACATATTACTGAATTAATCAATGAAAGTTTACAATATTTGTAACTCCTAGAACCACATAACCCATTATACTTTTTACTACAGTGTTTTTCAACAACTAAAGATCACTATGAATGTAGACTGAATCACAGCAACTATAAAATGATTTGGGATTTAAAAATTTCTTCCTACCTCTTTGTTTATATTAGTACATCACACGCATCCAGGTTTCGTAAGCGTTCTGCTAACAGCAAGCAGTCCAAAGTGTTCATTTTGTAGTAAGCGATTGATTAATTGTTTAAAAGCCAGTTAAAAATTTAGAGACCTCACATTACTTATAATGTTTAGATTTACTCCTCAAATAACTATATTTTCGTGTACAATAAATAAAGAGTAAGACTGAACATTTTTTAAAACAGAAGTGAAAGTAGACGCGTATTTTTCTACAGTCTGGACAATTACATACTTTACAACATGGAGGAGTATGGGGAATAGTTTCAGACTTAAAATTGTTAGGTTTCATTCATATACACAAACGTAAATATCTTGTGGAAAGTTTGCTCATTTAGCTATTATAAATATTTTACACTATTTTAAACTATGAACTATGCTATGAAGATAATTCCTTTTTTATGATAAAGCTAAAATATTTAATTTTAAAGAGACTGAAGTTACATATTTTCTGCTTTTTTAACCGACGACGTTTTGCATCTACAAAACAACAATAACTTGTTTGTATAATACTTAGTCTTCATTTTCTATTTAGTGATCTTTAGAAAATTTATTGAGTCTTTCAAGGTCCAAATATCAAATTGTCTTAACAAGTTAACATTAACAGGTTTATTTGTTTGAGTTGAATCCCTCTTGATTTTTACATGTAATTCGCCAATATATATATATATATATATATTTACATGATCAACACCTTCAAACTTCATGAGGTTTATAAAGACAAATAAGATCACGGGCGAAAGCTTTTATATGAAATATTTTTATTAAGGTTTAAACGAGTGTACTCTCAAAAGTGTTGGCTTACCTTTAACTGTCTACTTGTTTGTTTTTCTGAAACATAAACTACGATCACTTCAGCTGCTCCAGCTCAGGAAAGAAATACTTTCCTATGGTTTAGTAAAGCAAGTAGACCCAAACATTTCCTAACCCATGAGTACGATTCTCATAAAAATGCCTTTGATTTACCCTGAAAGTCTGTACTCAGCCAATGCTAAAGCGCACGCTCATGGTAAACAAGCCGATTGCTCTCGGGGGAAGTGGTTATTTATAGCACAAGTATTTATTCCGCCGCCACAGTGTGGCCTATGACGACAACTGTTGCGCCAAAACGCATGCTTCTCTCTCACTATCTTCTGCTCGCCAAGCATCTTTATCAGTGGTTAATATTTACAGTAACAGGCACTAATCGGAGCAACATGTTCATCTTCACCAAAAGCCTGTTTTATGTCTATACATTTAGCTTCTGTAATTTGATTACAATAAAATAAGCTGTTTTAATTGTCACTAACAAGGGTTCACATAATAAAAGTTTACAGACGTCTTTGGAATGATTAACATTTCACTTCCTGCATTATGCATCATTTCTACTCTCTACACCAGCTTGTTCCCGAAAGCCATTTTTGTCACATGTGCTGTTTTATTATATGATTCTTATCAAGAGATAAAAAGCTAGAAGTTTGTGAGGTTTAATTTGATAAGGAAAATCTCATAGAAAAATTACTTGTGTGCTATATTTAAAGGAATAACGTTATGTGGAATAATATTACATATTGAAATTAGTCCTCTCCCCCGGGAGGGTCAGCGGTAAGTTCACGAATTACAAATATAAAATTCGGGGTTCAGTTCCCCACAGTAGACAGAGTTTATATAAACCCATTGTGTAGCTTTACACTAAGAAAACAACAATAATAGTCAAGTTATAAAATGTATAAACTAATGCAAAAACAACAACAACAAAAAACGAAAATAAGGCAAAGAGAATGTCTACTTCCAATAGTTACCACTAAAAGTAATATTTTGGTTGCTTACTGTTAAGCACAAAGCTACCCAATGTGCTATATGCGCGAAACCTAATTTTTAGTGTTATAAGCCCTCAGACTTACTGCTAAACTACCAGGGGTCAGGAGTGACAGAAAAATACTTCATGCGTGATTAAATTTTGAGACAACAAGTGAGCAAAGTGTTTTAATAAAGAGACTTGTAACTGCGATATCTAAAATCACAACACGAAAAAAGTGACAAAAAGAGACATGTAATCACCATATCTAAAAATCACTTATATAATTTTAAGAAAATAATAACTTGACTTCAATTGTGGTTATCTTCTCTAAGCTCTTTTGTCACCTTTTTTCGTGATGTGATTTTTAGATGTCATGATTACATGTCTCTTTTGTCACTTTTTTTCGTGTTCTTAGGATGATAGAATATATCTCCTTCTTAACGTTATCAAGTTAAGTTTAAAATTAATTGGTAAAAAAAAAATACATGTGACGAGATACGCAGTTAAGAGACAAAAATAGTATGGACCCATTCACACTTTTGGAATTATAACTTACCTAAAGCTCAAGCTCATCGGGCCATGGAACAAGTTGTGAATTTTAAACGAATTTAAATATAAAACTGTTTACTTTTATGTTAATACTAAAAACAGTTAAATATATTTTTGTAATATACAAGGAAATACTAACCAGTTATAATAGCTTACACCACAAATAATTCACGTGTAGAACGTGGTCACTTGTTGAAAAGATTTACATCAAGTTGGATATGATTGACAGTAATTGCAAAAGGTTGTATATAAACAACCCTTTTAATTTAGTTTCTGTCAGTCAAGATGTTTGTTTCAAAAGCAATTAAGCGAGAGTTTTTAGGGTGCTGTGATTTTAATACGTGGAAAAAAAGGAAATGTTGTCTAGGAAGGTTCGTACTTGATAATATACATTATTGTATTCGCTAAGAATGAACAATATCAGCAAAATATACCCCTATTTATTACTATCCTATACTGAATAAGTTGAGGACGAAATGAAGATGTCTTCAGCACAATATATACGCAGGCCTATATATGTCATTGTATACAGAAATTAAAACTGACGTCACATTTGTTTTATGATTAACTAGAAGAAGGTGTTATGTTAATTACATAATCTTTTGACAAATGATGTCATATCTATTTGAATTGATGATTACTAGTCATTTAACGTTGTTCATATCATAATTTCATATTTCATTGTTATTTCGGGATTATTAATGTAATAATGTGAATTTGAATATAACTATACTTGTTAAAGCTTTCATGATTTGACTCTAAACACGTTATAGACCCAAACTCTATAGAACTCCAAAGTTTACACAGATGAAAAATATGAAGAATTCTTCGCGATCTATGGTTACCGTTTGCATATCCAGCCACCTTGACCATGACTATCCTCGTGATCTATAATTATACAGGTTAAAAAATCCTGACAGTTTTGTTGTAAATGAATTAAAGTTTGTTGATTTGAAGTGCAGGTGGCTTTTAAAATTGACACTTTCTGTAAAGAGCAGTCTGTAGTGTTGAATAGTATCAATGAATCAAGTGAATGTCTGATTCCAGCAGAGATAAAACAGTTTATTCCACAGCTGCTACACTGGAGATAATAGGGAAAGTTAAATAGTTTGCCATTGAAAATAAACCAAAACAAAACTCCAATCCGTTCAAAGATGACACTTTCCTTGTGATATAGAGGTGCAGGACATGAGTTTGAAAGTATACAGAGTTTATCATGACATTTTACTCTACTATCCCCGGGTATTTAACTTACAGTTATATATGTAACCTGAAATCCCCATAAATTCTTTGAAAAACACTCTTGCGATATGCTCTGTACATTGTTTTTAACTGTTTGACTGTTTCTTTTTGCTAATAAGGTATAGCGCCATGAAATCAAATTATTCAAATTATATGGCAGTTTTTCCGCAAGATGCTAGTAAGAATAGGAATTGTTACGCTCACGGACGTCTTCTATGAGCTTCTCTGGCTTTAGGCTGTTCATATTATCTTTTGGAATCGTCCGTACAAAGTTAATAGACTTTGGAAAGAACATAAAGAGTAGATGAAAACATTGACCTTAGTATATTGTGTAAAAGCCTCTTACAGTGGGAAATGCATCACAAAGCAATAGTCCATAACCAGTGCTGTTATACAGCAGAAGATGTAAGACCTAGGTACTCGCCCTTGTGTGATTACAATAGAGCATAACTCCACAACCAGTGCTGTTATACAGAAGAAGCTGTAAGACCTAAGAACTCGCTCTTATGTGATAACAATAGATCATAACTCTATAACCTGTTCTGTTATACAGAAGAAGCTGTAATACCTGGGTACACGCCCTTGTGTGATTACTATTGATCATAGCTCCATAACAAGTGCTGTTATACAGAAGATGCTGTAAGACCTGTGAACTCGCCCTTGTGTGATTACTATTGATCATAGCTCCATAAGCAGTGCTGTTATACAGAAGAAGCTGAAGACCAAGGGACTTGCCTTTGTGTGATTACTTTACGATTAGGATTTAGCATAACTTAAAGCATAAATATTGTTCCCAATAAATTTTTATTTACTTGATCAAACGTGGCGTCCTCTGATCACTGGAATTACCATACAGGTAACTACAAATAACTAGAGATATCGTAGAAACCGTAATGTGGTATTAAACTGAATTTCTAATTTGACTAAGTTGAAGAAAACAGTGTAAAAAAACAGACTTTGCTAGCAACAAGAGATTGGTCGTTTGTTAGAATTGTTAGAAATCACAACTATCAGAGACGTGATTTGAACCCTCATCAGGCGACAAAGCAACATTCCTCATCAACGTTTGCAACGCAGCCCGCCATCATCTCAAGGTCCGAGGAATCACACGAGAATCACTAAACGACCAAATTTTAAGTAGGTTTCCAGATCAATCGTTCATAGGTGAGTCACACAATTCTTTGACTTTCTTGGTGTTAATATTCGAGGCGGTCTTAACTATAAAAAATATGAATTACTAGATTTATCTAATAATATTAATGCCTCGGTGATAACCATTAACGAAAGTCTATTAAACAGTAACTCCAATTTCCGCCTTCCAAATTACAAAATTATTTCTAAGGTTAAAAGCACACATACTAGAGGGATAGTGCTGTCATACGAGAATAACCTCGATCTAATACTCATCGACCATAACACACCTACTTATCACGAACACATACTAAGCAAAATGAAAACCCCGTCACTACCCGATATCACCCTCCTAGCCATTTACATGTCACCTCAAACAACACCTGACATCACCTTTCTAAACTCAATGATGTCAAAATTTAACAATGTAATCATTCTTAACGCTTCTCACCCCTTACTTCAAGGCTTTACTACAAACACTGCTGGCAGGATTATCGCCAAATTTTACACAAACACATAACTTAATAGTAATTAACGACACCTCCCGTACCCACACACATAACAATGGAACTCATAGTATCATCGACCTCGCCATTATCCCACCAAAAATCGTACACTTACGAACAACTTTAAAGCACAGGAAAATATCGGAGGAGACCATAATACTCTTTCCTTCCAAATCAGTAATCCTAACTGGACATTCTCCAATAACCAAGATCAGCACCCCAAAAACAACCCAACTTTAAAAAGTTAACTGGTCCACATTTAACGAATACTTAGACAAAAGCTTACACGAACCCGTAACGTCTGTTAACTCCAAAGACGAGATCGAACAATAGTGCCATAATCAGAACTATAGGCAAGTTAGTCCCCAAAAATTACACTAAAACCACGCCTAACCATTGGTCTCTAACACCCGAAATATATAAATTCATTCTGTTCAGACGTAAGCTTCGAAACTAATTTATATACACTAGAAACCCAGCTACCAAATCTCAAATAAACTCAGTCACGAACAAAATAGAAAAGTTAATTAAAATCCTACAAAATTATAATTGGAACAACTTTTGTAATAGACTCGATAGTCTTAAACCTGACCCATCCACCTTTTAGAAAAATTTTAAAAGAATATGCCGAGAAAACAACGAAACAGGCAATATCTCATACGAAAACTTCACTGCCGCTCCCGATAAACAAAAGTCAGATTTATTCACACATTATTTCAAAGAAACA